CGCAGTTTCCTTCCTAAACTCATTTTCTCTTTAACTGGACTGTACTATAATAATCTATAAAATTATGAAAACATCGCGACCTTGTCTTTTGTGAAAATGTCTCTTAACATGAATATTAAGCCTTTTAGAAAGTCCTTTTATTATTAGAGGGCAGGCACCAACCTAAGCCAATGTTTTAATATAGTCATAGAATACTGCGTATGCCATAGAATACATAGTGTTGAATACTTTGTATTTTATTAATTTTTAATTAAATATATTACCATAAATGGATTTTTCATCAACATGTTGTAATTTTAAACTACAACAGACTTTTCGTCTTTAGCCTGTGCTACAATAAACCGCGTTAATTTTTCAAGTATTTTGTTTTTATTCTAAATTACAAAAATATTAGTAACCTATCCTCTATACTATAATATAGAATGCCAGCGTTTTGGGCACCCTATCGCGGGGCCTTTATTTTATTGTTTCATGTAGCGTCCTATATTTTTTAATTTTTATGTAAATACGCTTATAAAAAAATTATACCCTTGTTGTAATATGGCCACATCTGCAAAATTGTCATTTTGACAACTGTCATTTACTGGCGAGAGATTTAAAGATTCCACGAACGAAATTACTCGATAAGTATTTTGTATTTAAATAAAATAGTTATAAAATTTCACATATACTTCATTATCACAATTTTTATGACTTTCATACGATAGCGTGTATCTTTATTATATCGATATTACGAAATGAACAAATTAACATTAATATTGTCGCATATTTAGTTGCAAAATAAAACACACGTTACGTTGGTACATTTATTTAATATCCGTGACAAAATGATGACATACAAGTTACTCGTACCTAACTATGTTAAGATTACATTGAGCTTATGTGTTCTCTCAATTCCTAATTCAGCCAAGCCAACCAGACTTTACGTGAACGCAAGTGACCCTTGAATATTTACAATATTCACAATGGTATATAGAAACTACAATGCACCACATAATCTCAAAACACGATTATAATATCGTAACAAATTTTAAAATACAATATACAATACATTACATGAACTTAAACTTAACCTACTGAATTGATGAAAATGTGATTTTTTTCAATAATGGTCATTTGCAAAAAGAAATGTACGCGAGATTTGAAACTTCAGTTTACATCTAGATTTACAAAATAGATTACTTTTAAAACTAAAAGAACTTTAATAAATAGCCCACAGGCTATTGACTTGGCTTCTAGCCAGGCCCACATTAAGTGAACAGCGGACCAGGAACAACATAGAAAACTATACGAGTAGTTGCTACTGACACCATGCTATTGACTAAAAAATTGTGATATCACATAATACAGTTATTATCTCTCCACTCTTGCCGCTAACATGTGGCATACACGATCTTCAATTAGTGTAGCAATGTGCTCCGCGCATTATGCTACGCCGTAGCAAATTTCTACAAAAATTATTTGTTGAACGTGTTTTGTGTAGATAAAGAATATTCGAACAATCACACGAGTTGGAAATGATTCATAAAGCATTTGCGAAACATCAATTGCAATTTCTTGGGTTATTAACCTTATTATAGAACAATTATTTAAACCTATAATAAAGTCGATAAAGGAATATTATAAATACATATATTTATCCATATAAAGGAAAATCTTCAAAATTTACTTATGCAAAGTCATAGAATGGAATGTGAAGGAACAGGCACAGATTCTTTCAATAAGGAAATTACACTTAAACACACGCCGAGTAAAACACCTACGATGTATCTATAATCGTCTATCGATGACAATTTACATTACCTACATAACTTATTTATTTTAAAAATGATGACTATTCAGTCGGGTTTCTTAATTCTACAATGAATATGCTGCATCGGGTTTCGAGTTGTAATTTTATCCGTGGAAATTCACTGTTGCTCGTCTTATGACCACATTTTCATAAAAATATAGTAGCGACGTATCATGTAGTCGTCGTTCATATTGGACACCGCACAAACGAGTTTTGTCTTATGTATTTTTGATTTAAAATACTTAATTGTTAATTACCTGGGGCATTATGCCGACTGAACACAAAAAGAGCGTAATTTCGCTCGAGATCCATCGCGAATCTTCTGCCTGGTGTGTCACTAGATACATTTAAACAACTGTCATTTATAAGACTTGCAAACTTTAAAGAATTCGAAGTAAGGAAAAGCTTTATGAATTTTTAAAATTAAACACAAAAACAACATAAGAAATGAAACTATTTTTTCGGATCTGACCATGTCAGCTAGCCTTGACCATGGGACCTGTAAAGGGCACAAAACGTTGGTTTGTTTGAAAAAACAAATATACGAGATTTAGATACGAAAAAAAAGTTTAATTTCCTATGTGTAACAAAATGAGAGCGCTATACTCACAATCTCGCACTCCTTCACATACAAGTGAATCATTATTGTAATTTCAGATAGAATAAATCCAACTATCAACCAACGAGTATTGTCAATTAATCCCAACATCACATATCAATCCTGCCAGTGCTGCCAGTGGCTAACTTGGAAAGAAAGCGAATTTGAACGTAACATAAAACCTAAAGTGAAAAAAAGTGATACTTTAAATGAAGACTATAATTTTTATGATAACTTTAAATAAAAGAAGATAGCAAATGAAGAAAAAAGTCGATGTAACAATGAAGAAAGTATATATATATATGTGTGTGTGTGTTGTATATATCTACGGAATATATAAACATGAAGGAAATGCTGCCGTAATCAAAGTGTGGATTTACAACAACGAATGACGAAAGATTGTGAGAGAGTGTGAGTATAGCGCGCTTATACCACAAGTAAAACAAGACCTCTACTATGAGTTTATTAGCGATTGAGGAATATATTATCAATTTTGTATGATAAATTGTACAGCGTCTCGAGAACATATTCCGAACAAGTGTTTTGCTATATTGTAACTCATCGTAGAGATATTTGTGTGCAAAAACACATAAACGCTTTCAGAAATTGCAACGAGTATGAATTATATCTTGCATAACAAAACATAAATTTAAATTTAAAAATCCCCGACACAAAACAGGGTTGTCCAAAAAGTCAATAAAGTCACCGACGATTCGTTGAGTCTTTTAAAGAGCCCAAATACGATAGTTCTTCTATAAGTAGTCGAAGAGTTGGATAGTCTGCAGGCTTGCATCAGATAGTTATCATATTATTATACGTCCTAGCATCAGATAGTTATCATATTATTATAAAAAACCCGTGGTAACCATTTGGTTTGACCTACAGCCTCAATCAGAAGCCGTGAATTCGAATTCAGCCTCGCACCTCTAAGTTTTTTTTCTAAGGAATACATCGTGATAAAAGCTGCGCGTCGAATAAGGATCACAACCCTCGGAAAACGTGTGAAGTGCGCGTCATCGGCGCGTATAACATACGCCGTGTGTAAGTAAGCTCTAAGAACCATCGCCATCCAATTAGCCTTAAAAAATTTCTTTAAGGTCAGTCCTATCGTTTCGGAGCTACGACGCCACAGATATACAGACAGATACTCAGACAAATGCTTAAAACTTATGACTCTCCTTGTTTCGCATCGGGGTTAAAAAGAAGGCTAGGTTAGAAAAAAGAAAGTATATTTTTTTAATAACACATTTTTTAGTAAAAACTATATAAGAAATTTGTTAGGCCAATTTAAGCTTTGACTAGTTGAGATAATAATGAATACTTTACTAGTGTCTTTTTATAAAACTGGAAATGTTTTAAAAAATAGAGTTTTGGTTACGTAATTTTACAAATGTCTGATAATTATTGACTGAAACAGTGCTTTTCTAATCTATGCTTTCAAGCGTCTAGATTAGATTTACCGCTTAGTCTTTTTAAGTAAAGCATTCTAAAGATTTTCTATTTCTACTTAAGTGTAGTTAAATTCTATAGAACTCGTTTGATCTATTCTTATAACTGTACAAAGTGTTGACACCGATACTTAAAGGTAGAGGTATATACATTATTTAATTACGCAACATAATAGAAGGAGAAATGTTTTGAATTTGCTCATGTATTCAAAGTTTATACACATAGTTTTAAGACAGGATTTCATGGAGTATTTTTCATGAATTACATATGAATCGAAGAAATTTGTCGGGAATGTTCTAGAGGAAATTTAATTTCTTGTTTTAATAATCGTACTTCGTTCTAATGCTTAACAACATTGCCGGTGGAGAAAACAAACAGGTGGCTTCAGCAGACCAACTGCGCAAGGCGAAAGACGACTAGGTGGCATTGATATTCTCTCTTACCGGATTGGCGTCACCGTTTAAATCACTGTTTTAACTGAGTTGCCGTTAACCAACTGTTCCTATTTATCAAACTCTAGATCTAATCTGTCAAACTATAGACAGTGTAATTTTTCTAAGGCTTGTTATGTTAACTGCTTGACAGGAGTAGCTTATGGATTAATTACACTCAAAAAGCATGCAATGCCCTCCACGTCCAATACAATAATGCGTCCAATTAGGTCTTGGGGCTGCCTCGTTATTGCAGTGCTTTTGGGATGTTCGCCGAGGAGACAGATAATTAGTAGAAACTGGTGGTGGTTTAAACGTTATACTGAGCCGAAAAGAAGGAATAGCAACAGCACAGGGTTGGCTTTCACCTTACGCTGTTAACCTGCTGGGTTTTGTTTATTCGTAAACTAAAAATGTATGCAAGATGAGGTATATGTACATCAGTAACATGTGTAAAAATACCAACCATATATCTCACCTTTAAAAAAAAACATTCGACATTTTTTGTTGTTTTGATCAATTGACATATACAAAGATATATAATGTCCATATAGTACATTAGTCTACAACATTAAAATACGATTGTAGATATATATATATAATATTTACTTTCTTGACAATAATTACAAAGAAATATTACGTTTATTGGTTAATTTATATTAATGTAGGTATTAAATATGGTACAATGTCGCAAAAAATACGAAATTGGCACAGTTTTAGGACATTATAATTTAATTTCCTTTAAATTTGGATGGAGTTTTTGCTTAGAAATGTTAAGAAGCTTACATATTGGTACGCAATATAACAATTATTTTGATAACATCAGTCGGATGTAGTACATACTCAAACACATATTTAATCGTGTAAAACGCCAAAAAATGTATCGAAACTCTACATTAATTCATGTATCCATGTCGTTGTCCTCAATGTTGAATCTTACCCTATTGTGATGGTAAATTGTAATTAATCCAATTGACGCTCATTTAGTGAGAGGCTTTTGGTCCTAACCACTTTCCCCTAGTTACTACGAGAAAATTGCATCTAATTAATACAAGCGGAAGAAACGAAGCCGGAATGGTTACAAAAATACAAAATCAATCGTTGGTTGTTGATTCCCCGCCGAGGAAAGCGTATTTTAAAACCTATTGGTAATTACGTCCCTCTCAAAGTCTATAGAACGGTAAAGGCACGGTCATGATGTGTATTGCACTTAAGGGGTTATTTGTCCGTACAGACAGAGAGAAGAAATTCTTCTAAATGTTTCAAAACACGCTCTAAACTACAAAGTCAAGTCAAGGAAAGCGTTCCAAGGCACATACTTTTAGAAACAATTAGTAAAGTGGTACGAGAGAGACCGCAACCGGGTCACAGCACAGGTCACACCTACGTCGGATGAGTTCAATACAGCGACCACTAGAAGCGGAGCCTACCATGAAGGATCAATAATAACACAGTGAACTAGGAGTCTAATCTCGAGCGCTTCGCTACCGTACGTCATCTTGTACCATTACGATTATATACTTTTAACAGACACATTTAATACACAAAAATCTTAATCGAAGCTCTTACAGTCCACCAAAACATTTTCTCCCACCTTGTCACCGTTTCACAGAGGACCGAGGCCACATTTCATCTGCATCTTTTGCCCACAAGTTTATAATAATGATAAGTAGTTGGTTCGATGTTCAAATGTTACTCGCTACCGTTATCGCACACTCCGCCATTGGCAATAGCTGGAATATGATTTCCGTTAGTCTTTTCATGCAGCAGGCAGGAGTGGCGTGGAGGTTCCGGTCAAAAAATTTGAGGTCGATGACGTGTGTCGCACGGTAGCGGGAGGCAGGTACCGCGGCAGAGGTGGCGAGCGGCGTGCAAAAAAGCTGGCGCTCGCGCTGGTGGCGGCGCCGGCGGCGGCAGTACCGGTGACAGCGAGCCGCCGCTGTCGCGGTCCGCCGCCGCGGACGGCGGGCGCTACACGTGCGTGCACGCGCCCGCCGCCACGGGTCAGCCGCCCGCCAGGATGTCCTCCGGTTCCGGCGACCAGCAGTTGTCTGAGAGCCAGCACCCCACCACTACCGTCACAAATCCTATCAGTAGCGCTAGTACTATGTACACCTCGGCGTTCCCTGCATAACAAACAAGTAATGTAAGGATTTTAATGTACCTATTCATTTGGAGTTCCATTAGAAGTGGATGGATTTTAAAAACAATCTTATTCATAGGGGCAATCTTATTCACACTCACCGAGTTGCTTTCGGATACCGAGAGGCTGTCGGCTGCGCCAGAGTGAATTGATGAGCGTGGGGTCGCCGCGCGTACGCCAGTCGCGGTAACCTCGCCCTCTGGAATACTGACTGAATCTGCGACGAAATATACCCCCATACATATTAAATTATCACGACATCTATTAGATCTTAACAAAAACGCACAATACCGCATTCATCGCTCTTAATGACACAAATAATTGTGAACTATCTCTACAATAAAGAAAAAAGGTCCTATCATTATTCATAATGAGACAGCGAAACTGTCGAAGGTGTTGCTTTTATTCAGGATTTGGCACCAAGCCAACAATTGCTATGCCGAAGCTGGCAGCCGATTGTACGTATCTAACTTTGGATCTTATTACAGCAAAAAAGCGAAATTGAATTGTTAGCTCTCCGTCCGTAGGATATTCTCGTAGCGGATCGTGCAGGAGTATGCCTACTGAGTACGTGTCGCATGCGAATGCATATAGCTACCGTGAGAGATATTACTTCAAAAACGCTACAGCAGCAATTTTACTGGCAATCGGAAACATCAAACAGAACAAATTCCAGCTGCTCAAGCTCCACAAACTCCTAATAATCTCTCCCTACAAAAAGCCAGTGGGCAATTGCCCTCCTACAAAACAATTCAATTTCGCAAACTACCATTGACATGTAATTAAATCTCAATAATGGTAAGATTACAAGCTTACTGAGTTACGAAGAAGGTACAATGACAAAGAAAAGCTCGCTTTTAAAGAAAGCATTTACATTTATTTTATGAGGCTAACGTTCAAAACAGGGGTAAACATGAATTGATTTCAAGGGTTCAAGAATATTATAAAAAACCGCTCAAACTCACACTCATATTGGAATATTTTTACATATGACTTGTTATGAAATAACCTACGTTAAAAACTACTGGTGTATCAAACGTGCAAATATATAACATTTTTTTCAATAATCATCATGCAGAAAAACTATTCCACCATCGTTGTTTTTCGATGGTATGCAAAAATTTTAATTTCCTTATTATAATAAAACGGTTTGTGAATTTTTTAGGAGATAAATTACTTACATTGTCTCGCCGCGCACCAGTTTCGTAGCGATAATAAAATATTAGAATCACAGTGTGCGTCACAGTAGCGGTCTTCTCATGAGAACCACATGGCCCAATAACACAACAAATAGTGCTAAAATAGCATCGTCGCCACCATATTGAACAAAACGATCACTTTACCGAAACACTCCTTACAAGGTTAAAAGAAACACAAGTAACGTGACACTGTTTTAGCACCTTTTGTTAATGTTAATGAGCCTTCGGTCTTCTATGAGAACTCTACCTTGACGCACACGTTAAAGATGGGAATTTCATATCTTTTTATTACACAATAAATATTTATACATTTGAGATTGTTGTAACAATAAATAAAATCAGTGTATGTTCGTCGTTGTATGTGTTGAATGGTTTTACTAATAAAGAGCATTGTGTTGGCCTCGTAATACCTTTGAATGTTATTTTTCTGCGTAGAGAATTTACTGGTTTTGTGTCTTTCTATGTAGGTACGTGTTTTATTTATTGATATACTTTCTTAATATACATCCATATAACCCTGTAAGTGCCATTTTTCGACTACCTAGTAGAATAATATAAATAAAACCTATCTATGTTTTATTATTTTTCCCACAATACATTAATATAGCTCTGAGATTGGTATTCCAATTTTATAGTCATCTAACATCTGTAGAATGAGTAATTGAAACAAAAACCAATATGCGAAATCGGAGTCGACATAGCCGAGACAAGAACGGCTATAGGGGTGTTAGCTTGCAAATTAATGGCCCAATGCATTATGCGACTTCCCATGGGCCCGGTTTCGCATTGATTACACTAATATTCCTATATCACTGTTTGATTGATGTAGTAAAATGTACACGGATGTACATACTAATGTACTACATGCATATTCATAATTGGAATTTAATTAACCGAGATATGTTGTGGAAGCAATTGTAGAGTGATGACGTAATTGTTACGTTCACAACTACGAGTGGTTCACACGGCGACTGTAATAATAATAGCAGCGCGTCTGCAGCGATACAGTCGCGATGCAGTAGCGATGCAATCGGTCCATCTTTACACACACGCGCGACTTAAGCTGCGATACATTCGCGATGCAAACGCGATGCACATTTTTAAGCGTTTTTCAGCGTGCAACCGCGTATAAATCGCAATTGTCGCGATGCAATTGCGTGTTTCATAAACACGCGTTTATATCGGTGATCGCCTCTAAATGTCGCCATATATAACCGCTCTGAAATCTGAAACAGACAATAAGAAAAAAACAAAAACCGGGACAATAGAAAACAAAGGTTATTACTGAAATAGGTTTGCTGTTAAATCCTCATACGTAAAATTTAGTGGTGGTTATTATTATAGATGGATATTTTGCAACGATAACCAAGCACTCAAGTGCGCAAACAAAAATAACAAATAAACAAAAAAAGGTCTGTATGACTTGCATAGAATTTCTGGAGATCTGACAGTTTTCTTCTGTTAGCTCTGCTATTTGAAATTACTCGACGAATTGAAAGGAACGAAGGAAACATCCCCTACGGGGAAGATAAACAAAGATATGTAATTGTAGGACAAAATTCGCCCTTTTCATTTCAACCTCTTTACAAACTCAATTGAACTAGCTATCATTTGTAACACGTGGTACGTTCGCTTCAGTGCATTTGAGTGCTCGGGTACTTTTCCCTCTGTTTCATTCGATTCCTAACGCTTTTTAAATGCAAATTAACAGGCCAAAGTACTTATATTTTATATCTTAATCGGTTGAATTATTATCGTACTTACATTTTATATACAATTAAGGTTTCGTGTAGGGTTAAATTATAATTTCTAAGCCACGTGACATTACAAAACGGGCATTACGAAATGATATTCCTGCTGTGTCGGTGTAGCGGCGCGACACGCCACAGTCACAACTTTGACACGATATACTCTACTGGGATTTGTAACCCAGATAGCAATTCTATAGAATAACGTGAACTTTCGTACACATTGATTATTTTTGCGTGTTTTTAATTTCGTTCGGTGGCCATATTATTGAAAAGTATTATATATGCTAATCCATATTATCTATTCATCGAATTTAATCACACATATTGGTGATATTTAACTGAGTTCAAACGCCCACCTTATTGCTTTTAATAAGAAAGTAATATTGGTTGAAAAAAATTAGTTTTTTTTATTTGTGACAGCCATTAATCTCAATTTTAGACGGCTCTTCCAGATAGTTCTTATTCACTCTCATCTCGCTTAGTCTGTATTTGGTCTTTCTATTATCTACTTGTATTTCTAGTGTGCACGAGTGTTCGTTTTATCAGATACTAGGACACGATTAACGATCTAAAGCTCTCAGTTTTGTTCTAAATCGATTTTGTTTTATTAATGATTCTTATGACTATGCAATACATATTACTGTTTAATATTTTTGTCGCTTCTGTTACGTACATCAACGTAAACAGTGTAACAAATACAAATCCAATAAATATGTAGATTTCACATTTTAGATACACATTGAAAATGTCAACAAAATTTTTAAAACGGACATTTCTCTAAACCTCGCCGTCTCTCACTGAAATTGAAGCTGCTTTCTCAAACCATTTGCTATTTTGTATTTCTCGGAAAATAACTATATCTTGATCAAATTTTCGTGTCGCTTCGAACGTGCAAGTAACTTAATTTAGAATGTTACATCCTTTGGGGCGGCTAACTAAGATCCGTAGCTAAGTTATAAGCTTGTAACTCATAAGTTGAAATTACACCGAGTAATATCGACACGATTGGTTGGCTTTATTTGAAATTACTTTCGCGTTAGTTCCGATAGTAAATCACGATATTTGCTAAAACAAATTGATTAATTGATCATCTGAATTGGTATACGCAATTAACGTCTCTAGCCTCCAGAGTAAGAAGACTTACATTTGAATAGGAAGTGAAACTATTTTTCAAGCACACCAACGTTTCGGACCCTTTACAGGTCCCATGGTCACGGTTGGCTGAGGTGGTAAAATCAAATATTAATGCAAACCACCTTATTTTTCAATATAGTAACAAAAGTTATTAATTAAATGTTATTAATACAAAGATGGAACACTCAGAAAAAATTCCTTCCATCCGGCCAGATTCGAACCAACCGGATACCAACTAAGCCACGGAACGAACCAGCGGACCTCACAATTTTTTCTATGTGCTTGATGTCGTGTCGATTTGGTTTTTCAACGACTTTTTAGTCGTAGCGTCATCTATGAGAAATCTATGAAAATTTTATCACCCAGTTAGATACCTTTGCTCTACCAGCCCTGGCGAGAGATGTCGCTATTCACTGTATTTTAAATATTTATTGAATTGATGTAGTTGGTATAGCGTCTGACGCGGTATGCTAGAGGACGTCTGTTCGAATCCGGCCGGATCGAAGGAATTTTTTTCTGAGTGTTCGATCTTTGTATTAATAATTATAACAAACTAGTGGAGTAATTTCACAAAAATAATTGAATATCAATTCAATAAAAATTAAATATGTTATTTTAAAATTTTTCGAGGAACATTCCAATTTACGCTACATATGTTTTACAATTATTGATTTAATATGATTTTTTGTTTTTTATTTAATTATGTTTATTATTAATTGATAATGGAAATTAGAATAAATGATAACATATTAATTACTACAGTCTATATCTGTTTGGGATTTTTCATCAAAGTAAATACTGGATTCCAAACTGGTGGTACGAAGAAACCATTTTCCCTGTTCAAATTAGGCTGTTTTTTTAATTTCATTGGCCTCTCGCAGCATCCTGGGTAGATAACGGACTTCTTTTGCAAGGACCTGGGGTTTGTCAAAATTTTTGAATATGTAGGTTTATCCATGACATGCTCGCAGACTGCAGACTTGTTTACGCGACGGTGTTTGACATTAGCCATATATGTTCTTTCGCGCGGGTACAAATACTTCGCTTCGTTTGTCCAATATAAGAGAGACTGCACTAGCAGTCAAGGTTGTAAAGTCCTCCATCTTGGAAGGGGATGTTACATTTCACGGATCTCAGGAACCTCAGGGGCTTGAAATAGGTCTTGTAGACGCACGCCTGAGGACTTTTCCGATCTTGTCTGTAACACCTCTCACGTAAGGTAAAAAGGCAGGTTTTCGCTCGAATTATATATGTACTCAAACAGCCACGCGACTGTGCGGATTTTAAGCATGGTATACCTAAACTTATGTCAGTCTGTAATTAGTTACGGTATTTCAACGGGATGGTGTTGCAAAGATAAGATTTCTTGAGCTGGAGCGGGCACAGAGGGATCTCTATACTGAGAATCAAGTTCTTACAGTCAGACAGCTTTTTGTGCTTACATCCATACTGAGAAAGCATCGTCTAGTTCCTCCACCGCAACCTAATCGTCGTCTGAAAGGACTGCAGTTTTTTGTTTTAAGCTTACTTCTGTACAATAAATTAAACAAAATTCACAATTTCGTTGGTTTATGTAGTTATGAAGTTAAATCTAAATTCGAAAATTGGTTAGACTCTTGATTACACGACTACTGAAGAACTACTAGATTACAACTATTAAATTAAATAAGATTATTAAATTTACTTTCAAATTGAATTAATTTAATTTGAATTGAATTAATATACATATATACACTCACGCAATCGCGCGCGCGACACACACACTAGTACGAAATTCACTAATAATATTTGCTGTTAAAAATCAGTTCAATATTTTAGGCGGTCGCTGGCGTCTGTTAACATTGTAAATTTATGGGAAGTTTGCAATCACCGTGCCCTTTCTTCGCCATCGATTAGCTAAGGAAACAGAAAATCAGAAAATATGGGGGAGATGGCATTTTTAATAAATTTCAAATTTTACATATCCATCATACCCATTATACGTCCTACTGCAGGGTACGGGTCTCCTCTCAGGCGAGGGCTTAGGCCTTAATCCGCCACCCTAGCTGTGCTAGTTAGTGTGTGTGTGGGTTGGGGACTTTACACGTTTACCGTGGGTTGTGTAGACTTTGACGTGCAGGTTTCATCACGATGTTTTCCTTCACCAAAAAGCTGAAGTGGTCCTAAAGCTGAACATGATATTTCAAATTAAATTTCGCACTTAGTTTCCGAGAAATTCAGAGGTGCGCACCTGGATTCGAACCCACGGCCTCTGCTTGAGAGGCGGCAGGTCAAACCACTACACTACCGTTTTTTTTAATTACATACTGTTATTTCGATTCAAAGCAACGGGCATAAAAGTAGGTCTTCTTACTTATACAATGAAGAGATAAATTTGTTTGTTCGATCCATTTTAGGAGTGTTGTGTCAACGACACCAATAAATGGAGAAAGAAAGGGCAAGGCAAAAGTACATTTAACATCTAGAGTGAAAGGAACCATAAATTATGTCCCAAAACAACATTATACAACTTAGCAATATCGAGTAGCCCGTTATTTTCATTTACTCGTAAAGTTAAAAGCAAAATATTCATATTACATTCCCCTCGCAAAAATCACAAAACAAACAAAACAAAATTCAAACAATAGATTATTAATTCTCGGGCATGGAACACCGACAGAAAACGGCTACTCCAGAGCAAAACCTAATAAGAGACAATTTTTTTGAAAATATTTTTTTAAAGGAATACTATTCCCGTAGTAAGTACTCACCTAATTGCGATGACAGCCACTTCAAAATTCTACAATTCATCAGAAGTTTCGAAACCTAGTAAGGCCCGTCAAAAATCTAGTCACTTTAACGAATTGTATCGGATCGCAGCAGTCGCACAAATCTCTTTTGTATTTATATTGTATATACTTTATAGTCTTTTTAAGTTTGTTTTATATAAGTGATTGTTTTTGGCGCTTTTCTTTACCATTGTTTCTGTTTTTGGATTGATAGCTGTACGTGTCTTGTAGTAAATTAATAAACTGTAAATACATTTGCTTTGGCCTTGCTCACTCGCCTACAGCTCCGGTACCTATCTGGAGGGTACTGTACGTGCATCCGGGGCGGTTCACCTAAGGCACTAGCCTTACAGAGAACCGGATGAAGTGCTTGCAAACGTGCTGATCCGGGGTTGGACCTGACTTAGATGGTCCCTGTGCAAGTTCGCTTGCACAGGTTATAGTGCCCTTCCCGCATAACCAAGAGGTTGGTAGGGCCGGGCATTGTAAACAAAACTTATGTAGAAAGATATGGGACTGGCCTTGCTCATTCGTTGATAGCACCCACCGGAACCCATTGGTACAGTCCTCTACACCAATTCAAAACATGCGAGTATTTGAGTCTTGTTTGGTTTGAAAGTGGTTAAAGCGACTTACTAGGTATTTGAATTGGCAATTAGTGAATAATAAACTTAACTGATACTCAACATCTTAGTCCATTTACTAATTTAATTAGTCAAACTATATCAAATTTTATTCTACATTTTCCAATGAAATAATTAAACCAAATACTTACTTAGCAAATGCTTATACTGTGTCTTGATTTTGGCTGCTAACTTTATATAAATATATTAATATTCAAAGTTAGTGAGGGTATAAAATATGTTGTGAATACTATTAATTTTTTTCACTTAAAAGGAAAATTGTTTAAGGTCGACCTCAGTTTGTATTTTTGACTCCTGTAAAGTTTTGTCTAAAACACTTAACTATATACCTTACAACCATAAGTTAGATGACAATATTTTTCAAATTTATTTTAATTTTCACAACTGTTGGCAGAGGTATACAAATACAGTGCCGGGTGTACGCGTGAGACTGGCAAAGTGTGTGTCGTTCAATAATGCAAAGGAAATGTCCGCTTGACTACGGCCAAAGAGATTCTAATGCACTTTGAATCTCTTTGACAGTATGCACCTCCCCGTGCTGCTTGTGAATCCGGTGGAAGGTGCAAGGTGAGTGGCTCTATTTTTGTAACATTTACTTATATGTTACGGTGTGTTAAATCCAACTGTTTACGTAGGTAAGCGAGACATAAGCACTATTGTGCTTCGAAAATGCATATATAATAATATAATATAAATGCATAATGATATGCTTCACATATGTACATTTATTTGGGCTTGTGACGATGCTGACCTCCTTCGTCATCATCTTACCTTTTTATCATCCTCTTTTCTGGTTCTTGGCGACTTATTTTTAAAATTTTGAATCGTTCTTGAATTCCCCTTTCCTTTACTGTTCTCAGAGCATTCGCGCACTACGTCCGATGTGTATAAGTGCCGAATCCAAAGAAAAGACGGTCCGAAATGTCACAGTTGTCCGAAGTGTCATTTTATCTTTAGTACAAGCGATATTCGTACTTTTTCTGATTTGAATCGGACTTAGTGCACAAGCGACATCTGAAGTGGGTCCGACTTTTCTAGATTTGCATAGTCTCGGATTTGGAAGGACCACGAATCGAATGCAGTGCGCTAAAGCCCTTACTTTTATTCTAACCGTCGTCACTCCCAAAATTATTGAAACGAGAGGAGTGCCCATAAATCATAGGTCACCTTCATTTCTTTTTCTTATTGTTATAAGAAAATTTTTTTTTTTTATATTTTTTCTCATTTCTTATTGTAAAACTTCACGTCGTTTACTATTAAAATTATTTCTTTATATAGCCCCTTTTGGGGTGAGTAATGTGTATTGTATTATTTAGTTTTAAAAGGAGTGTTTTATAATAATTATATAATTTATTCTTTGTTATAGCTTTTCTTTTCCTCTTTTTGCAATAAACCTTGTGAACCGAGCCTTCTGCATTCTCATGTCTCTAAGGCTTGGCCAGGCTTGAACTCAATGAACTATGTCCAAAATACACCATTTTCGCTATGCTAAAAATATAACTTTGAAAAGAAACCAATAACGAAATATAGCGCAAAGAAAATACATAAAACGTATACATAAACACAAATACCTAAATGAAATTTATCGTATATTGGTTGCCGTAATTTTCTTCACCTCTAAAACTCGGATAAGACCCCGTGTTCTATTTGCCACTAAGCTAGTTCCATAAGACGCGAAATGTGGCTTTTATAGCTCTTAATAATCCTGCGTAATTTAGTATAATATCTCGCTATAAATGTTTATTAAAGAAACGATAACCCCTAAATAACGCTAAAGTTTACTACTGCTGCTAACTATATCAGTTGTATTGTGGCTAATTCTAACTATTGGCACAATAATAATATGATTCAATTGTGTATAATAAATAGAGCTTTACCAGGGATAGGGATGTTTCTAGAAGTATATAAAAATATTAGTGAAATGTGAAGATAGAAGATGACTTGTCACTGGTATTGTTGTTTTTGGGTAGTATCAAGTTACATTTAACAGATTTTTTTTACGCCAGGTTCTCTATGTGTGTATTTTGTGAAATGTGTTTGCCATTATAGTGTGTCATGTATAATTATGCAATACCATATGTGCCTGTTGAATGTATGTAGTGTGATATTGTGTGTCAGATATGGAATGTGTGGAGTCGTACCTGCGGATGCCGCCGACGCCGGCGGGCGGCGCTGTGGAGTGCGGCACGCCCGGCGGGACCTGCGCGCCGCCCTGTACGCCGCCTTGCACGCTGCCCTGCGGCGCACACACACTACACCCTGCGTACACACGTGCAAAAATATCAAACTTTGAAAATATTAATAAGTCATCATCCCCCCCGCCTGGGTGTTAAGTAAAGTAGACATAAAAAAAATGCAACATCTTTAATAATTTATAAGTGTAATACAGTTACCGGAAAAAATGGTTAAACTCTTGTAGTGTATTAATGAGAACTTGAAAATGGGATGCATAAAAAATCGTATAGTCCAGATCCTAAAATAGTTACGAAACCTAAGAAAAAAGTTAGTAACTAAAGAAATCTGTTACAGCACTTTTTTATGAAACCAAGTGATGTGACGAACGACTTGTGCGCCTGGTGGTAAGCGACAAGCCTGTCCATAACAGTTGCAGTGTCGCTCTTAGCCTTAAATCGCAAATATATTGCGATTTAAAGCCGCTACTGCGCCCGTCACCTTGAGACATATATTAAGTTGACAAATCCCATCCTTCAAAACCGAAACGCAGTGTTTACATTACTGTTTGGCGGCAGAAATAGGGAAAGTGGCAATACTTCCTTGCACGAACTCTTTCACAAGAAGCTCTACTGCGCTTCAAAGCTACCTTTTAATAGTTTGTTAGCAGCGTAGTGCAATGCAATAAATATTTAAAATAATTTATCGAAAGTACGTCTTTTGTATATTTATTTACGTTCAAATTATTATTATTTTGACTTCTAATTATATTTTACAAATATTACCATTGAAATTGACCCAAATAAGTATCACCGCGTATAAATTACTGGCTGCGTCATTAAATCCATATATGCATGGATTCATGAGCGTCCGTGCAATATTATTAAAAAAACATGTTGCACCTAGTTTAGTCCGTTGAAGTGCATGTACTTAATGTATGATATGTATCTTCAGTAATATGTTTTGTACGTCTAATGTTTGGCGCGCTACGCCCGATTCGTATCAGGGGGTCTACTCTTGATCTCCGTCCGACATCCGTCCGAAACAATTACTGCCAAATAAGCAATACTTGATCAAATGAAAAGACGCGTGATGCGAATGAAGGTTTATTCTTGATATGTCGAATATTACTTATTTGACAGTAATTGTTTCGGACGGATGTCAGACGGAGTCCGAGAGTAGACCCCCAGTTCCGAATGCGAGAAATGACGGTCCGAAATATCACAGTTGTCTGAAGTGTCATTTTATCTCTAGGTGTACAAGCGATATTCGTATTTTCTAGGATTTGAATCGGACTAAGAGTGGTTACACACTGCAACTTTTAGCAGCGATACAAACGCGCGTTCGTGAAACTTCGCGACACTGCATCGATGAAATCGCCTATAAATCCCAAGTGTAGGAATGCAATTGCGCGCGTGTAGGTAGATGATAAGCGACTGCATCGCGTTTGCGTCGCTGCTAAAAGTCACCGTGTGTAACCGCTCTTAATGCACAAGGATAAGGCTCGATTTATATTGCGGCGGAACGGAATAGGAGCGTATTTTTGTAACGAACGTACAAAGTAGATGCCCGAGCATTCTCGAGCATATTAAATTTTGGCTAGTATCCAGTGTGTTCGTTACACAATTGATCATGAAGTTCATTATGATATGTACAAACACGTTACAAAAATTTGCTTCCTTTCTGTTCCGCCGCAAATTGAACCTAAGCAACCTTTTGCGGTTGGTGTTTTTTTTGTTTATAATTACATCAGTCAACTTCTACACAACCTGCATTTTCACAAATAAATGAATTATGAATGCAAGCATTCTACTAATTGTCAGTGAATGTCAAACGTCGACACAATTTCTTCTACGAAACAAGCCTCATACGAACGTGGCGTGCATCTCTAACAAATTTCCATTCAAGATAACTGCATCAACTGAGTACAGGCCTGTTTCTCTCACTCTGAGCAAATTGAATTTTGCCAACCTCCTTGCGTTCTGTTGCGAGTTTCAAATTCTGTTGATTGTTTTCGTATTATGCTGTTAAGTAATATTAATAATAATTGTGTACATAAAAGTACCTAAAGTAATAGTTGTACAAATTGATTGTTAAACCTTGATTATCTAAACTTGGCACAAGCTCGTATGCGCGATGCCACACGAGCGTTGCGTCGTCGCACCACAACACCCCTCACCGCTTCTCTTCCTGTCCCCTTTATCCGATGGACACGCGTTCCGTCACCGCGCGCTGTTTCAACGCACCGTGTGGCACATGTCGTTCTGATTTATATGTAGTACAACACAGGTGCGTCAACGCAACTCCCGTGTGGCATCTCTCTGTCTTAAAAGTCAGTATCTAGTCTAGTCAGTCACTAGTTTGTTATAATTATTAATGCAAAGACTTCAGCATACCGTGGTTGACGCTCTCTCAACTGAGCTACGGAACGCATCAGCAGACCTTACGAATTCTTATATTATGTGCTTGTTGCAGATCTTTGTTTTTTTGGTTCTAATTAAATATATGAAAGATGTTCTTCACTTCAGCCAGTTCAGTTATGTTTACAGTATCATTACAGAGTACCAAAAACACCGACGTCAAAAGTCATTCATTTCCTAGTTTGCCACCCCTTAGAGGAGGAATATTTTCGTTAAATTTAAAAGGGGCCACTACAGAGGTACCCTCTTTCCAACAAAAAAAGAATCATCAAAATCGGTTCCATTTGGGAACTGGCCTGAGTTATCGCGTAACATACGTATACAAAAAAGAACGTACAATCGAATTGAAAACCTCCTCCTTTTTTAGAAATCGTTTAAAAAGAAAGAAATTTTTTTTTTATATATATATTATTTGAATATGTATATTAACCTAATATTTATATCATTTTTTAAAACATAATCTAAATCAATTTGTTAATGCAGAATGCAATGACTGCGGTATGTCAGCATAATTTGGCTGCAAAATGGCTCAAAGCGTTCGGCGTGCCGACGATCCCATTGTATATTTATTCATGAAGCCGACGGCAGGTGCCATACGATGCGGCCACCCGAAATATCCAGGCGTATGGAATATTCAATATACTATTTTTATATAAAAAATGTGTAACGCCATTAAAGAGGCCCAGAAAGAAAAAAAACAAAAAATATTGTCAAGCAATCTGAAAACTTTGAAGGAATCATTTATCACCTATGTAAGTGTGTAGCAAAGCCAAAGGCTGCTAACAGATTGACAGTGAATGCTTGAAGTCGCAATCAACTTCATGCAGCTGAGACATCCACTGCAACGTCGAGATCGACTGCGTGCAGTCAATGCGTTAAGTCGTTATCAACTTCATGCAGTAGTGGTCTCGGCTGCATGAAGTTGATTACGACTTCACGAACTAATTGCAAACGTGCAGTTAATCTGTTAGCAGCATTATACGTGTGTAAGTGCTAATTTAATCAAGTGTAAGTGATTAACTAAATTACAATGACGAGTTAGTATAGAATAGATAGCCGTGGCACTGTCTCTCAAGCAGAGACCGTGGGTTCGAATCCAGGTTCGCACCTCTGAGTTTCTCGGAATTTATGTGCGAAATTTTATTTGAAATTTACCATGAGCTTTTCGGTCAAGGAAAACATCCTGATGAAACCAGCACGTCGAAGAAGGTTCACAACCCCGAATAACGTGTGAAGTCCACAACCCGCATTAGTTCAGCATGGCGGACTATGGTCACAGACTCGTGCCCAGTAATGCGACGTCTAATGAAAAGCAGTCGACGTTAGTGTTGGCATCTATCAGAACAAGTGTTAGGGGACAGCTGTTCACGATTGCTTCGGCTTCCAGTAGGAGAGTTTCTAAAATTTGTGGTTTAGGTGTTTGTCCGACTAACATAACCCTTAATGCCGTCTTCACACTTCTTACAAGATTTCCCAAATGGGTTGATGACGATTATTATTATTGTAATAATTATTTATTATCATTAGGCCTTAGCCTAAACGCTCGCCTGAGGGGAAACCCTTACGCAGCAGTGTTCATCAATCCATTTGCGTTGTTGATGATGATCATAATAGAGAGATAGTCCTTGAATTCTAGACGTAGGGTACAGGATCTTCTACATTTACATAAATTACTTCGCGGCAGCCTTAAATCCTCAACGCTTCTATCCCATATTAATTTTAACATCAAGTGCAATCCACGAAGCCTTCCTAGACCATTCGTATTGAATGTTTATACTAATAATACTTCTTTTACAACCCTTTGATGAGAATGTGTCGGGCCTACAATGACCTTATGGCTGATCCTGGCGATGATTTAGGGATGGATACATTTGATGGCAATGTTAAAAGACTTCGCAATCGAATCCACAACCACCATTCTCTCTTTCATAGTTATAGTCATAGTAATTCTATTTAAGGTTACAGTTTTATTTATGCCTAAGTATTTTATATTAATTTACAAATAATTTATATTTCAAACAAAATGTTTACACATGATTGGTCATGCTGTACATACATGTTTAGGTTTATATTCTAGAGTAGAACTAGTAGTAATGTTTAAGTTTTTGCTAAGGAGTGAATGTAAACTGTTTTGTACATCCAATAAATAAATAAATCATAATAGAGCTAATACGTATTATGAACATTTACAGTGTGTAATCAACAATTTTCAGTAAACACAATGTTGATTGACAGAGAATAGAATTAACATTACAAAGAGCTGTGGGGTATAAACAAAGCATTGAAATGAGACAATGACAGCTTTCTATTGCCAAGGTGTGCCATTTGTGATACTATTCATTATGGCACCAGTGGTCGCTTTTGTTCCTATTTTGAAGTAGGCTATTCATAATGGAAACGCATTCTCTATGCACATAATGCTACTTTCGCGCCCTATTATGTTATCAATCGATTAACTCCAGGCTCTTATTTTCAATATCCTTCAGCTGGGCGACTATAACAATGTGATAATAGTTAAATCGGGAGCAGATAAAACGAAAAGCAGTTCGAACAGATTGCCAATAGAATACCGAGTGGATTGTGAACAGAATATATTTGAGAGGTATTGCAGTGATCGAAAATAAAAATAGGGAACATTTCAACATTCGCTACAGGTAGGTAGCGAGT